GGGAAACAAGATGGTAAATTTCTCCCCATCGTGCCCCACCACCCTCCAGCCAATGATATTGCGCAGACGACGTGAGGAGATTGCAATGCGTCCTTCCAATGTGTCCAATCAACTGCTCGCGTTGTCTGCTCATGTACTCCTCTCTCATCGACCTGTGCTTCCTCCTCAGTCCCATTGGTTGAGGCAGCCATCTCCTTGCCTCAACGCCAATTTTACTTTTCAGTAAATCCCACCTCCAGTGCCTGGTCTGTGCAGACATGAATTTCGGCAACTTCTTCCGCAACATCTCCACTGACAAGAGCAGTGGCAACAGAGGCGGTACCACCAGCAGCGGTAGTGCAGGTGGAGGAGGAGGCAGAGACGGTGGGGGCAGCATTTTTGCTGCACCAAGTCGTCTGTTCGAGTCCATCAACGCGAAGACAGAGAGCATTGTCTCCGACTTCAGCCACAAAGTCGACTTGGCCAACAAGCTGGACACGATCAAGAAGTACTCCTCCATCGATAAGATTGGCCAGAGTGTACTCGGCACCACATTTCAATCCAAGCCATCCAACCAACCTCCCGATGACCCCACTAGGGTGCCAGCTCAGACATCACAGAATCAGGAGGATTCCTATTCACCCCCTTCCCAACAAACGCAACAGCGCCAGCAGCAGCAGCAGCAGCAACAACAACAACAACAACAGCTGCAAGAAGAAGAAGAAGAAGCATGCCAAGGCAACCGAAGTGAGCAGTCGGGAGCATGGTCGGCAGACTACTACAACCCACATTCTATCTCCACTCCCACCGACATTTCCAATGGCACACGCAGTTTGCATGACTTCTCAGGTCACACCAACCAACCACCGCATACAACAAGCTATGAATATCACCCACGAGGAGGATACAGCATTCGTGAGCGGGAGACACAGGAGTCACCAAAATCACATCCACCAAATCGAGCATCTCAGCACAGATTCGGTGTGGATAATTTCGGACGATCTGATGTAGAGCATAACAGGGCGAGAATGTCAACAGAACAGGAGGCTACGCAGCCAACAAGGGAGGTGGTTTCACAAGGCAGGGAGTCATTCAGTGAGCCTCCATGTGGAGGCGCGAGAGCTAATCCAGGTGAAGTGAGTGCGTGGCAAACCGATTCACGGTTTGCATCACAAGCTTGTCAACTGTCAAGTGGTGAAAGTGCTGAAGAAAGACGTCACGAGAATCCCTTCAACAAGGGAGGGTCTGTGGACATGGGCACAAGTAGGAAGGAGACTGCAGTTTCTATCATGCGTCAGAATACGACTCCGGGATTTCGTCCTCCCAGACCACCACCACCTCGATCTCGTTCCGGATCTGCGTCTGAATCTGTGTCTGGCTCTGTGTCTGTGTCTGGGTGTGGTTCCCAGTCACTGCTGATTGAAAGTGCAAGGAAGGTGTCGTTGACGGAGGAGGTGAGCGCCAAGCAGCCATCTTCAGTGCTGCACTCAATCACCACATCAGTCCTCTACGAGGAGGTTGACGAGCCGTTGAAGAGTGCAGTTGCTCCACCGCTGTCAGAGGAGATTGGCTACCTCACCCGTCTACAATGCCAGCAGATTGTGTCCGCGGTGGATGATATGATTGCCGAAGACATTGATGTCAGTCACGACTATGAGTCAGTGAAGGAGACTGAGCCTTATCGACGGCAGGAATCTCAGTCTCACAATTACTGGCAAGACACATCACACGGGGGATCGGAGCTGCACGATACACAGACTGTTGAGAGCAGACCACAAGAAGTGAGCACTTACTACGTGACGGAGCCAGATGACACGACACCGTCGAAGCAGGCGACCGATGACACACCGTTGTCGTGTCAACCCTCGTACGTGGAGCGGGAAGAGGGGAGGTTGGAGGAGGAGGAGGAGGAGGAGGATGGGGAGGAAGGAATGGAGAGTGAGGTGACGGAGGTAAAGGAAGAGAATGAGGTGGATGAGAATGCCCATGATTATGGGTACGAGGATGAGGAGGAGAAGAAGAGGGGGAGGGAGGACGAGGTAATGATGGAGACTGGGAAAGGCAGAAGCGGTGCCAGCACAGACGATTGGCACGGGAATTACGGCTCTGAGAGACACGATTTCACGGATGAGGAGGATGAGGATGAAGATGAGGACGAGGAGGAGGAGGAGGAGAGGGAGGAGGTGGAGGAGGAAGGAGAAGAGGAGGGAAGGCGAACAGAGGGTTATCCTCCCACCTCACATAATGTGGGTTCGAAAGGGAAAGTTGGCACGTCTGACGATTCACTCAAACCCTTCATCACCGAATACGTACAAGAACTGGTCACTGGAAAGTGAGTCACCCACACAGTTCTCTACCCTAACAATTCCCCCTCCCCCACTTTCAAGTCTCGTACTACCAAATGACAGCTTAGAAGCTAACAAGTTGATTAACTAATAACTGCCAATCACTCCTAACCTCGTTCAATTTGGCCAACCTCGTGGACACACTTGGTTGGAAATAATCACGCATGATGAGAGACAGGATCCACCCACCTGCCTGCCTTCCAGACATTCCAAATGACTGACTGAGTGTATTCGATGTTGGAGGTGCAATGTAATCTCGTATCCCAGTTTAAGCGTTCTCGCCTCTGTTTAATTCATTCACTGCCTTCCCCATCTGGAGTCATCTTCAAGGTCAAGTAGAATGGAGTCATGGAGATGACTTTTGGCTTTGATTTCCTTTTAGTGAGATCGAGTTGGATGCCAAAAACGAGGCGTTCAAAGGATACATGCTGGTGAGTTTGACCGCCTTTACCCTCGAATGTGGCACAGATCAGGAGAGAGTCTCTACTTCTGCCAGATCCCCATACCTTAGGCACAAGTCCACCTACCTACCTACCTACCTGGCTCCCAGTGGACAGGTGTTGGTGCTTACCTAATGCGTAGGTGTGCAGTTGAAATTTGAAAGGCACTTGTGCCATGGTATAGTTTTAATGGCCATCAAGTTCGGTGTGTGTGTGCATGTGTGTGTGTGGGCATCCTGAGACACATTTTGCGTGGTTGTCACCACCACCACCAACGCCACTACCACTATACACTTGCGCGTCACATGAGAAATGCGGAAGTGCAGTCACGTTAGTCAATTCACACGCCCACCGTGGCGCCCGACGGACAACCATCGGTTAGTGGGCGAATTGAGGACGTGTTTACGCTAGTGATCCACTTGGCCTATTTGGATGCAGCCACTTCTCTGCTATCTACACCACTAATACGCACTCGATGTGACGGTTGTGCCGTCAATAGGAGTGCGAATACACGAGATTGGTGGAACACTAGAAGAATCCCAAATACAGATATGTCAGTCACAAACTAATGTCAGTTGATGTGATCTAGAGTGGTGGCGACTTGTCCAACAGAATTATCGAGGAGGTGAGCAGAAAGGTAGAGGGATTGACTTCAACAGGGAGGTCTTCATTACCCACCAGTATGGGATAAGCTGGAGGTGGAGGTGGTGGCACAGCGCATGCACGTAGGCGTTGGCTGACTGACCACTGGTAATCCGAGGTGCTTCCACTCCCGCCAACCCATAGCGTCTGGATTGGTCTTGACCTTACAGTGATTGGTAGCACACTTCAAGTCTGTTGCCTGAACAGAATCGCGTTTGGCCAGATTTGCCACATTTCCACCAACCTCGTGTGATAAATGCGACACCAATGATACCCTGATGGCCACAGTCGCTAATCTTGTGACGAACAGGTCAAATGGCATCATTCTGAAGCCTTAACCGGTAAGGTGGTCTTACACGCCTAACCCATGCGTTATTTCCTTTACTGCAGACACCACAGGGTCGCGAGCTCTTCTCCAAGGTCGTTGAACTGCAGGTGAGTCGCCTAGTCTTGCAATCATAAGACGACAACTTGAACCACCACAGTGCATGTCCACACTCCCTGTCCGTTCCTCAGCTACGAGAGTGGTGTACTCAGACAGGTTGTGGAGTTCATTATTGCCCGTGGTGGTGGAGATGGTGAATTTATTTGACTAGGCTCAGGTCACTCCACGGGACAAACGTTTCCGCATGCCAATGTTGCGATGTTGAGTCAACTTCGTCACTGCAACTGTATGTCCATGACTTCGTCCACCGTGTCGCGGATAGAACTAGAGCCATGTAAGATGTGGGGCGATGCACACTCGGCTATGGAGGGGCTATGTGAGCGAAACCACTCCACGAACTTGCAAGTCGATGCAGTGATTTGTGCTTGTGCAGGCCATGACCTCCTGATCCACAACCGGCACCACAAACAGATGAACGAGAGGCATGTGATGGGATCAGGATAGTGTGCACCGTGAGTGAGGACATCTGTGCTAACGAGGTTCACCAATGCAACCACATTCCCGAACAACTGTCATCTTGGTCAAAAGGAAGGACATGATGGGCGTTATCAGGACATGTGAAAGGAAATACAGAATTGGTATGACACAACTGGTAGAGGTGGCAGATGTGAGTGACTAGTGGTCGCGTTGGAGAAACACCAAACCTTCCTGTTATGGCAACACAACTTCACAAGTTGGTGGAAGGCAGCGCATTCACTACTGCAGGATTTCCTCCAGATTCTTGGGTTTGAATAGAACTAATCTCCCTCACTACCACCAGGACTGAGGTGATCTTATTTAGACTGCTCAATGAATGTGCACACAAGCAAAGAGAAGAATGAATAAATGAAAAGATAATGGCACTCCTGAACGTGTGTTTCGAAGGCGCAGTTAATGGGTCTTTGAAATGGAATAGGTCAATCAACCAGTCAACACACCGAGCAGATGCAAATGACCAAGATTCGCTGTGCATTTGACAGTTGGCACGGTGGCTTCACCAAAAAACCTGTGGGCGTGCGCCTTTGCAGCCATCTTTCCGCCATCAAAGCAGTTTTGAAGAAGAATCAAGTGTGGCGTGAACAGGACGTAAAGGCACGGTTCGCTGACCAGTGGACGTTAGTCAACCAGTGAACAATAGAGACGTGGAAGTGAGATCACACAGTGTCTGCCACCTCTCTCCCTCTCTGCCCTCATCCCTCCCTCCCAACATCCCCCACCTCCCCTCCTATCTGTCAGGTCGACTGTCTCGCTGTCCATCTGTCTGCATTCCCCTCCCTCGCAGGGTGCGTACTCGGGTGGACGCCTCGACGAGAACGGACTGCGAGCGTTGCTGAGTCGAGTCGTCTTCGTGCTCACAGAGTGTCACAAGTGGGAGGATTTCGTTCCCGCTAAACGACTTCTCACCACCTCCCTCGTCTACCACATTGAAGGTATCTCCCACTTACTCCTCTTGCACCCACTCCTCCACTCAACAACCACTTCACCGTCTTCACGTCCTGTTGGGCACAGTGTGTGTGGATGCAGTAAGAGCTGCAGCTGCACACCCCCCTTTTCATCTCACCACTAGCTGCATTCTCGTTAAGCAAGCAGGCCTATTCAACCACCTGCACATTCATTTGTTCATTTGCCGCAAGTCCACTTTGCATCAACCACCTCACCTACCTTGACGATGTCTCACCACTGACACGTGCTGCATATTCTGCCAATGCGTACAGCAGGTAATGTGAGCACACTGTTCATCCCTAGATCCCATGAAGGTCGGTGAGAAGGTCTTCCTCTTCTCCTACATCAAAAGTCAGCCTATTTGGCATTCGCTGCGATTTTGGAATGCCTGCTTCTTCCAGTCGGTGCAGGAGACGCGAGCCAAGATGATGGATCAAATGAGGTAGGTGTCGACGTCCATTCGGCTTGGCAACTGTTTGACTGACGAAACTAGCCCTAATACACCGTGCCTTGGTTAAGTTTATGCTGTTAATGGACAGCTGTTTACACACTGTTAGATGACTTGGGTAAGATGCGTGACAATGCGGCTTGTGCATTGACCAATGGCATGCCAGTGACCATGGGCTAGTGGTAGTGGTAGTGGTGGTCATGGCGGTGGTGACGATGGCGGCGGTGGTGGCGGTGGCGGAGGGCAGATTAGATTAGTGTGATCTAGCAACCTGTACTGTCCAGTTGATTTATGCTTGCTTAGATGATTTATTCTTACAACAACGATGTGGATTGGCATTAGCCAGTTCATGCACACTACTTCTTGCCTACTTTCGACTTTGCAGATCTGACACGGAGATCGACCATGCCATCACTGACCAAATAAGGTGAGTTCTTACACCAACCTTGTCTCCTAATCTGTCAAACCAATGTGGGGCAGGCTTGTTGATATTTGATGACATTATCATGCCAAGTTGATAAAGGTGAAATCGCCGTGAAAGAGGCTGACACACCGATGTCAGGTAGGGACGTGCCAATAATTCAGGCGTTAGGACAGCAGTGTAGCGTGACCTCTCGAGAGAGACGAACTTTGGCCACCTTGTTTGCGCTACGTGGGAGGAATGGTGGGACAAAATCACAAACATAAGGTCAAGTGGACATTGACAGCAGATGCGTCCTTCTCCACCAACTGAATCGCGACATACAGTGCAAGCACAAGCGCTGATGCACATTTACCACTTTCGCTTCCTCGCCACATTCTAGAGCATCCCTCCAATGCGTCATTCACACCTCACTTCGGTTACAGTAGTTTTAAGCCAAGGAGGACTGCACCATGACCTCTTATCCACCTGCACAGTGCTTTGAGCTATCACGCTTTTGCAGAATTCCGATCAGCATTCTGCATGAGAAACTGGAGAGACAGACCTGAAACAGAGAGGCGGATGTGTGTCAACGATATTCGGTACACGCACGAGGGAACTTTGTTTAGTATTGCTCCTAGTGGAGGACATCGAAATGGGCCAATGTGACAGATACTTCATGTAGTTGACAGTGAGTGAAGGAGTGGAGTACTCAGAGGGTATTGACTTGTGTACTTGTTGTAGGTCATACCTCAACACTATGCAGGTCTTCAATCTCCACGCAACCATGCGATACGAGTTTCTTCGCAAGCAAGGCGACCTATTCAATCTTCCTCAAGGTAGGCCTCGCTGAATGACTTGCACTGTATCACAACTGCCCGCTCCCCTGATACGCCAACACCAATGCGTGTGTTCCATCAAGGTAGTCGTTTTACGAGAAGGTGTGGATGCGAAAGCTGAGGTGGACATTGGGTTTGGGAAATCTCCACAATGACTGTCTCGATGGTGATGGTGCGTGGAACGGGCGTCGCCGATAGCAGTGTGTGAAGCAGTAATGCGATCCACCAATCCCAAAAGCCGAACGAAATAGTGATATTGGAAGTTGTAAATGGCGGAGATGTGTAGCATCACATTCTAGAGCAATCAGGCGGCAATACTTATCAGACAGTGGAGGTAGTAAAGGTGGGACGGATGGCTTAGTCCCCTACATCTGAGGCAATTCCATGTTAGTTGTCAAGAGTATTGTCTCATGCATTGGTGACTAGCGAGGCAAGCTGACAGGCAGATTTGCAGACGGTGATGGATAATTAGGGAGGTTTCTCAGGTAGAGACTTGTTAGGCAGACAGTTGGTTTGTCGGGTGACTCCAGTCACATCACTCACGTGTTACAATCCAATGCAACCAATTCCAGTCCACATACATATTCCAACCACCAGCATTGGCATACCATCTACCACAGCACGTTTAACTCATTGTTCCCGAAAAGAAACAACAAGTTAATGAGGTGGAGGCATAGACCTCTCTGACATTAGCACTAATCGACCCTCCCGTTGTCTCCACATTACAGATGACGTTGAAGCACTGTCTGTGTTGATTGACAACCCACAGACCAATTGAATTGACTCGTCTCTCCTCTGGCGACATCTGGCCTCCGGTTTGGATCAGCAAACACCTCCTCTCTTTGGGCAACCCTTCCTTACTGCTTTGCCCCACCCACCACTCCATGTGTCATACCACACCCCCTTTCCACCTGTGATATTTTCCCTCCATTAAAGTGTAGACAGCTGCACATCACTCTCCACTCAATCTTCTCCTCCTCTCAATGGAAGACAAGATTTGCGTGAAGAGTCATTCGTCTTCCTTTGCTCAATGCACGAACGACTGGTGACAGCGTCTGTCACCAGTTGATGGATGGTGTGCGTGAATGAAGCTGCCACCAGATGTTGCATTCATCAATCCACCATTCGCAGCCTCGTTCATCATTTTGGAGTTGACACAGTGCAGTGCAGCACAGCGCAGCGATTCTTTCGCAGTGGATAAATAAACACTGAAAATACACCCAGTGGTACCTCCTTTCCCTGTCATCGTTGCGGCTACTCAATTTACTCCCTTCCAACATTTGTTACTGCCAGGATATGTTTGAGGTCTTCCTCATTAATGTGCGTTGGAGGTTGACAGTGGCCGTTTGTCGTGTCAAGTGAGCATGAATGTCCACTCATTTTGGCCAAAAGTCAGCAAGCTGTCTTGAAATTTGGGATAGTGAAGTCGAGTTTCTCGACTTCTGCCTCCGATGCCACCTTGTACATTGGGCATTCGCATTCCGACCATTTGTACTTTTGGGCAAACATTAATTTGTCGGGTCGTGGCAGCAGGCCACATTGGCACACCAAACATGGCAGTCTCCACGGTGGTCAGCAACATTCCTACGACATAAAGGTCCGTCGAAATAAGCCTAAATTGGATGACAGGACTGGTAGACTTCCTGCATCGGGTACACACCACTCCGTCTCGCGCACTCCGCTCATTGCATTTGGGCAGTTCTCAGTTCTCCACTCAAACACTTCTTTGAAGAAGTCAGTTAAGGAGGATCCGAAGACGACTTGGAGGAGCACACAACATAGGCCCTCTTGCCTCATCAAAAAGAATCCGCTTTTCCCTATCCCATGCGCTATCCTCTGCGTTCTCTATCCCAAACAAAGCACATCACTAACTACCGTCAAATCACGTGTTTAACCCTTTGGTTTGCCAGTCATGTCACCAGTGATGTAGTCGTCCATGGACTGCGACGCACGTCTTCGCTCAACGCTATCCAGATTCGAAGTCACCACATCACGTGCACTGGTAGTGAGGTTAACAAACAGAATATCCCCTCAAGTGCCTTCATTCGTTAAAATGGCCATCACGACACACGATTGTTGCGAATCCCGCCTTTGTCAAATGCCTGGTCGCTTGAAGCACAGTATACAGGCAGGCCTGGCCACCCAACTGCGTTTTCCAAATGCCGTACATCCTCTATCACACGTGACCGTATCGCACTAGCATCAAGATGTGGTGGTAATTGGAACTTGGAGAACCACCATCCACTTTGGGAGGAGTGTTACACGAGGGATGGAATGAGGCAGTATCTCCACCCTCTCTCCATTCCCATGGTTCACGTCTTCGCATGGGCAAGTTTCGTCATGTGCGCTTCAAGGTGTGAGGTCTTACACTGTCTGATGGGTATAAGACTGCAAGTTCTCCCGTCTAACCGATCAATCCTGACTGCACCCAATGTAGGGGAAAGAAAGAAGAAAAGGGGAAAAGAAGGGAAACAGAAAGAGGAGAAGGGGAAGGGAAAGGTGAAGAAGGTGAAGGTGAAGTTGTTCCTGTACCCGTTCCAGTTGCACCGTATCGGGAAGATAGGTTTCAGCCGTAATTCTGACTTCATCTGTGGTATATCAGTAAATTCCTACTGAACATAGGCTTCCATGACTACGCACACACCCACACCTCTGAAATAGGAAGAGATGTGGTGATACTTGAATGACCCTATGGTCTGCTGTGGTAACGCAGTCACGCAAATTTAGCCACACGATGGAAACAGAAAAACGGAATCGGACAGCAAAACAACCTAAGCAGGACGACACCTCTTTCCATCTGTCGTCAATGCTCAAAGGCAAACACGCCATCACGCAATCACGCAGTCACGCAAACACAAACCACACAATCCGGCAAACCCTTCATCACCGAATACGTACAAGAACTGGTCACTGGAAAGTGAGTCACCCACACAGTTCTCTACCCTAACAATTCCCCCTCCCCCACTTTCAAGTCTCGTACTACCAAATGACAGCTTAGAAGCTAACAAGTTGATTAACTAATAACTGCCAATCACTCCTAACCTCGTTCAATTTGGCCAACCTCGTGGACACACTTGGTTGGAAATAATCACGCATGATGAGAGACAGGATCCACCCACCTGCCTGCCTTCCAGACATTCCAAATGACTGACTGAGTGTATTCGATGTTGGAGGTGCAATGTAATCTCGTATCCCAGTTTAAGCGTTCTCGCCTCTGTTTAATTCATTCACTGCCTTCCCCATCTGGAGTCATCTTCAAGGTCAAGTAGAATGGAGTCATGGAGATGACTTTTGGCTTTGATTTCCTTTTAGTGAGATCGAGTTGGATGCCAAAAACGAGGCGTTCAAAGGATACATGCTGGTGAGTTTGACCGCCTTTACCCTCGAATGTGGCACAGATCAGGAGAGAGTCTCTACTTCTGCCAGATCCCCATACCTTAGGCACAAGTCCACCTACCTACCTACCTACCTGGCTCCCAGTGGACAGGTGTTGGTGCTTACCTAATGCGTAGGTGTGCAGTTGAAATTTGAAAGGCACTTGTGCCATGGTATAGTTTTAATGGCCATCAAGTTCGGTGTGTGTGTGCATGTGTGTGTGTGGGCATCCTGAGACACATTTTGCGTGGTTGTCACCACCACCACCAACGCCACTACCACTATACACTTGCGCGTCACATGAGAAATGCGGAAGTGCAGTCACGTTAGTCAATTCACACGCCCACCGTGGCGCCCGACGGACAACCATCGGTTAGTGGGCGAATTGAGGACGTGTTTACGCTAGTGATCCACTTGGCCTATTTGGATGCAGCCACTTCTCTGCTATCTACACCACTAATACGCACTCGATGTGACGGTTGTGCCGTCAATAGGAGTGCGAATACACGAGATTGGTGGAACACTAGAAGAATCCCAAATACAGATATGTCAGTCACAAACTAATGTCAGTTGATGTGATCTAGAGTGGTGGCGACTTGTCCAACAGAATTATCGAGGAGGTGAGCAGAAAGGTAGAGGGATTGACTTCAACAGGGAGGTCTTCATTACCCACCAGTATGGGATAAGCTGGAGGTGGAGGTGGTGGCACAGCGCATGCACGTAGGCGTTGGCTGACTGACCACTGGTAATCCGAGGTGCTTCCACTCCCGCCAACCCATAGCGTCTGGATTGGTCTTGACCTTACAGTGATTGGTAGCACACTTCAAGTCTGTTGCCTGAACAGAATCGCGTTTGGCCAGATTTGCCACATTTCCACCAACCTCGTGTGATAAATGCGACACCAATGATACCCTGATGGCCACAGTCGCTAATCTTGTGACGAACAGGTCAAATGGCATCATTCTGAAGCCTTAACCGGTAAGGTGGTCTTACACGCCTAACCCATGCGTTATTTCCTTTACTGCAGACACCACAGGGTCGCGAGCTCTTCTCCAAGGTCGTTGAACTGCAGGTGAGTCGCCTAGTCTTGCAATCATAAGACGACAACTTGAACCACCACAGTGCATGTCCACACTCCCTGTCCGTTCCTCAGCTACGAGAGTGGTGTACTCAGACAGGTTGTGGAGTTCATTATTGCCCGTGGTGGTGGAGATGGTGAATTTATTTGACTAGGCTCAGGTCACTCCACGGGACAAACGTTTCCGCATGCCAATGTTGCGATGTTGAGTCAACTTCGTCACTGCAACTGTATGTCCATGACTTCGTCCACCGTGTCGCGGATAGAACTAGAGCCATGTAAGATGTGGGGCGATGCACACTCGGCTATGGAGGGGCTATGTGAGCGAAACCACTCCACGAACTTGCAAGTCGATGCAGTGATTTGTGCTTGTGCAGGCCATGACCTCCTGATCCACAACCGGCACCACAAACAGATGAACGAGAGGCATGTGATGGGATCAGGATAGTGTGCACCGTGAGTGAGGACATCTGTGCTAACGAGGTTCACCAATGCAACCACATTCCCGAACAACTGTCATCTTGGTCAAAAGGAAGGACATGATGGGCGTTATCAGGACATGTGAAAGGAAATACAGAATTGGTATGACACAACTGGTAGAGGTGGCAGATGTGAGTGACTAGTGGTCGCGTTGGAGAAACACCAAACCTTCCTGTTATGGCAACACAACTTCACAAGTTGGTGGAAGGCAGCGCATTCACTACTGCAGGATTTCCTCCAGATTCTTGGGTTTGAATAGAACTAATCTCCCTCACTACCACCAGGACTGAGGTGATCTTATTTAGACTGCTCAATGAATGTGCACACAAGCAAAGAGAAGAATGAATAAATGAAAAGATAATGGCACTCCTGAACGTGTGTTTCGAAGGCGCAGTTAATGGGTCTTTGAAATGGAATAGGTCAATCAACCAGTCAACACACCGAGCAGATGCAAATGACCAAGATTCGCTGTGCATTTGACAGTTGGCACGGTGGCTTCACCAAAAAACCTGTGGGCGTGCGCCTTTGCAGCCATCTTTCCGCCATCAAAGCAGTTTTGAAGAAGAATCAAGTGTGGCGTGAACAGGACGTAAAGGCACGGTTCGCTGACCAGTGGACGTTAGTCAACCAGTGAACAATAGAGACGTGGAAGTGAGATCACACAGTGTCTGCCACCTCTCTCCCTCTCTGCCCTCATCCCTCCCTCCCAACATCCCCCACCTCCCCTCCTATCTGTCAGGTCGACTGTCTCGCTGTCCATCTGTCTGCATTCCCCTCCCTCGCAGGGTGCGTACTCGGGTGGACGCCTCGACGAGAACGGACTGCGAGCGTTGCTGAGTCGAGTCGTCTTCGTGCTCACAGAGTGTCACAAGTGGGAGGATTTCGTTCCCGCTAAACGACTTCTCACCACCTCCCTCGTCTACCACATTGAAGGTATCTCCCACTTACTCCTCTTGCACCCACTCCTCCACTCAACAACCACTTCACCGTCTTCACGTCCTGTTGGGCACAGTGTGTGTGGATGCAGTAAGAGCTGCAGCTGCACACCCCCCTTTTCATCTCACCACTAGCTGCATTCTCGTTAAGCAAGCAGGCCTATTCAACCACCTGCACATTCATTTGTTCATTTGCCGCAAGTCCACTTTGCATCAACCACCTCACCTACCTTGACGATGTCTCACCACTGACACGTGCTGCATATTCTGCCAATGCGTACAGCAGGTAATGTGAGCACACTGTTCATCCCTAGATCCCATGAAGGTCGGTGAGAAGGTCTTCCTCTTCTCCTACATCAAAAGTCAGCCTATTTGGCATTCGCTGCGATTTTGGAATGCCTGCTTCTTCCAGTCGGTGCAGGAGACGCGAGCCAAGATGATGGATCAAATGAGGTAGGTGTCGACGTCCATTCGGCTTGGCAACTGTTTGACTGACGAAACTAGCCCTAATACACCGTGCCTTGGTTAAGTTTATGCTGTTAATGGACAGCTGTTTACACACTGTTAGATGACTTGGGTAAGATGCGTGACAATGCGGCTTGTGCATTGACCAATGGCATGCCAGTGACCATGGGCTAGTGGTAGTGGTAGTGGTGGTCATGGCGGTGGTGACGATGGCGGCGGTGGTGGCGGTGGCGGAGGGCAGATTAGATTAGTGTGATCTAGCAACCTGTACTGTCCAGTTGATTTATGCTTGCTTAGATGATTTATTCTTACAACAACGATGTGGATTGGCATTAGCCAGTTCATGCACACTACTTCTTGCCTACTTTCGACTTTGCAGATCTGACACGGAGATCGACCATGCCATCACTGACCAAATAAGGTGAGTTCTTACACCAACCTTGTCTCCTAATCTGTCAAACCAATGTGGGGCAGGCTTGTTGATATTTGATGACATTATCATGCCAAGTTGATAAAGGTGAAATCGCCGTGAAAGAGGCTGACACACCGATGTCAGGTAGGGACGTGCCAATAATTCAGGCGTTAGGACAGCAGTGTAGCGTGACCTCTCGAGAGAGACGAACTTTGGCCACCTTGTTTGCGCTACGTGGGAGGAATGGTGGGACAAAATCACAAACATAAGGTCAAGTGGACATTGACAGCAGATGCGTCCTTCTCCACCAACTGAATCGCGACATACAGTGCAAGCACAAGCGCTGATGCACATTTACCACTTTCGCTTCCTCGCCACATTCTAGAGCATCCCTCCAATGCGTCATTCACACCTCACTTCGGTTACAGTAGTTTTAAGCCAAGGAGGACTGCACCATGACCTCTTATCCACCTGCACAGTGCTTTGAGCTATCACGCTTTTGCAGAATTCCGATCAGCATTCTGCATGAGAAACTGGAGAGACAGACCTGAAACAGAGAGGCGGATGTGTGTCAACGATATTCGGTACACGCACGAGGGAACTTTGTTTAGTATTGCTCCTAGTGGAGGACATCGAAATGGGCCAATGTGACAGATACTTCATGTAGTTGACAGTGAGTGAAGGAGTGGAGTACTCAGAGGGTATTGACTTGTGTACTTGTTGTAGGTCATACCTCAACACTATGCAGGTCTTCAATCTCCACGCAACCATGCGATACGAGTTTCTTCGCAAGCAAGGCGACCTATTCAATCTTCCTCAAGGTAGGCCTCGCTGAATGACTTGCACTGTATCACAACTGCCCGCTCCCCTGATACGCCAACACCAATGCGTGTGTTCCATCAAGGTAGTCGTTTTACGAGAAGGTGTGGATGCGAAAGCTGAGGTGGACATTGGGTTTGGGAAATCTCCACAATGACTGTCTCGATGGTGATGGTGCGTGGAACGGGCGTCGCCGATAGCAGTGTGTGAAGCAGTAATGCGATCCACCAATCCCAAAAGCCGAACGAAATAGTGATATTGGAAGTTGTAAATGGCGGAGATGTGTAGCATCACATTCTAGAGCAATCAGGCGGCAATACTTATCAGACAGTGGAGGTAGTAAAGGTGGGACGGATGGCTTAGTCCCCTACATCTGAGGCAATTCCATGTTAGTTGTCAAGAGTATTGTCTCATGCATTGGTGACTAGCGAGGCAAGCTGACAGGCAGATTTGCAGACGGTGATGGATAATTAGGGAGGTTTCTCAGGTAGAGACTTGTTAGGCAGACAGTTGGTTTGTCGGGTGACTCCAGTCACATCACTCACGTGTTACAATCCAATGCAACCAATTCCAGTCCACATACATATTCCAACCACCAGCATTGGCATACCATCTACCACAGCACGTTTAACTCATTGTTCCCGAAAAGAAACAACAAGTTAATGAGGTGGAGGCATAGACCTCTCTGACATTAGCACTAATCGACCCTCCCGTTGTCTCCACATTACAGATGACGTTGAAGCACTGTCTGTGTTGATTGACAACCCACAGACCAATTGAATTGACTCGTCTCTCCTCTGGCGACATCTGGCCTCCGGTTTGGATCAGCAAACACCTCCTCTCTTTGGGCAACCCTTCCTTACTGCTTTGCCCCACCCACCACTCCATGTGTCATACCACACCCCCTTTCCACCTGTGATATTTTCCCTCCATTAAAGTGTAGACAGCTGCACATCACTCTCCACTCAATCTTCTCCTCCTCTCAATGGAAGACAAGATTTGCGTGAAGAGTCATTCGTCTTCCTTTGCTCAATGCACGAACGACTGGTGACAGCGTCTGTCACCAGTTGATGGATGGTGTGCGTGAATGAAGCTGCCACCAGATGTTGCATTCATCAATCCACCATTCGCAGCCTCGTTCATCATTTTGGAGTTGACACAGTGCAGTGCAGCACAGCGCAGCGATTCTTTCGCAGTGGATAAATAAACACTGAAAATACACCCAGTGGTACCTCCTTTCCCTGTCATCGTTGCGGCTACTCAATTTACTCCCTTCCAACATTTGTTACTGCCAGGATATGTTTGAGGTCTTCCTCATTAATGTGCGTTGGAGGTTGACAGTGGCCGTTTGTCGTGTCAAGTGAGCATGAATGTCCACTCATTTTGGCCAAAAGTCAGCAAGCTGTCTTGAAATTTGGGATAGTGAAGTCGAGTTTCTCGACTTCTGCCTCCGATGCCACCTTGTACATTGGGCATTCGCATTCCGACCATTTGTACTTTTGGGCAAACATTAATTTGTCGGGTCGTGGCAGCAGGCCACATTGGCACACCAAACATGGCAGTCTCCACGGTGGTCAGCAACATTCCTACGACATAAAGGTCCGTCGAAATAAGCCTAAATTGGATGACAGGACTGGTAGACTTCCTGCATCGGGTACACACCACTCCGTCTCGCGCACTCCGCTCATTGCATTTGGGCAGTTCTCAGTTCTCCACTCAAACACTTCTTTGAAGAAGTCAGTTAAGGAGGATCCGAAGACGACTTGGAGGAGCACACAACATAGGCCCTCTTGCCTCATCAAAAAGAATCCGCTTTTCCCTATCCCATGCGCTATCCTCTGCGTTCTCTATCCCAAACAAAGCACATCACTAACTACCGTCAAATCACGTGTTTAACCCTTTGGTTTGCCAGTCATGTCACCAGTGATGTAGTCGTCCATGGACTGCGACGCACGTCTTCGCTCAACGCTATCCAGATTCGAAGTCACCACATCACGTGCACTGGTAGTGAGGTTAACAAACAGAATATCCCCTCAAGTGCCTTCATTCGTTAAAATGGCCATCACGACACACGATTGTTGCGAATCCCGCCTTTGTCAAATGCCTGGTCGCTTGAAGCACAGTATACAGGCAGGCCTGGCCACCCAACTGCGTTTTCCAAATGCCGTACATCCTCTATCACACGTGACCGTATCGCACTAGCATCAAGATGTGGTGGTAATTGGAACTTGGAGAACCACCATCCACTTTGGGAGGAGTGTTACACGAGGGATGGAATGAGGCAGTATCTCCACCCTCTCTCCATTCCCATGGTTCACGTCTTCGCATGGGCAAGTTTCGTCATGTGCGCTTCAAGGTGTGAGGTCTTACACTGTCTGATGGGTATAAGACTGCAAGTTCTCCCGTCTAACCGATCAATCCTGACTGCACCCAATGTAGGGGAAAGAAAGAAGAAAAGGGGAAAAGAAGGGAAACAGAAAGAGGAGAAGGGGAAGGGAAAGGTGAAGAAGGTGAAGGTGAAGTTGTTCCTGTACCCGTTCCAGTTGCACCGTATCGGGAAGATAGGTTTCAGCCGTAATTCTGACTTCATCTGTGGTATATCAGTAAATTCCTACTGAACATAGGCTTCCATGACTACGCACACACCCACACCTCTGAAATAGGAAGAGATGTGGTGATACTTGAATGACCCTATGGTCTGCTGTGGTAACGCAGTCACGCAAATTTAGCCACACGATGGAAACAGAAAAACGGAATCGGACAGCAAAACAACCTAAGCAGGACGACACCTCTTTCCATCTGTCGTCAATGCTCAAAGGCAAACACGCCATCACGCAATCACGCAGTCACGCAAACACAAACCACACAATCCGG